TAAAAGTTGGCGGCTTTCCGAGGACAAATCATCAACTAAGTCTGGCCTTGTTGAGAAGATTGATGAAGAGGCTGGGAAACAGGGAACATTTTGGCCAGGTGAATGGCTCCCTGCTGATTTTCCTGATGCTCGTGTCTTTAGTCTTCAATACAAGGTCTGTTTTAATTTTTCTTTTTATGAAACAACTTCGCATACTTTTCACACCATACTAATGATTTTAGTGAAAAGACCACATGTTATACTTTAAATGATGGGACTCTATTACTTGCCAATCTGTTAGCTGGTGGTTGTGTGCTCATATGGTTGAAATTAATGTTTATTGGACGATGTGGTTGCTGCACACCATGTTATTTATTGTATAGTTGAAAAAATGGAGCTTTTTTACATGCCAATGTATTAGCTTGTCGGTGTGTACTTGAGTAGTTGAACTATCATTTATTATCTGACCTTTGACCATTTGGTTAATGCAGACAAATCTTACGCAGTGGTCTGGGGCAAGCTTACCTCTTTTGGTATGTACCGTTTTGGCACATGTTTCTAGTTCTGCAATAATAGTTAGAGTACTTGTTGGTTATGTAACTTGAATGCCTGTATAGTTAAATGGTATCTTTCTGGGGCTTGTCCCTCCTTCCAACATCTGATAGGCTAACATTAATGGCCAGTTTTAACTGGGCCCCTCAGCTAGCAATGCCGCAAGAGTTGTTTCTTGCTTAATCTCATTTGCAATGTAGCTTTCACTTGTCTTGGGAACATATGTCTTATAGTAGTTCTTAATAGATATAAAAGCAAAATAGATGAATGGAGAACATATATGTTGGAGATTATTATTTTGTTTGTACACTTAATCTTTTCTATACTTCCTTACCTTTAGGTCTTAGAAGGTTGTTTCTGCATCTTCATCCACGTAAATATAGTGGTGTCTGATATGAGGTTTAACTTCTCATCTCTTTTCTTGCTTGAGAAGTAGTGCATTTCTCTGTCGTCCTCTGTCTGCTTTCTAAGTAGGCGCTGCATGAAACTGATAGCTATAAATGACTTGCCACATGACAATCTATGCAGTCTCCTAAATGTTTACTCATATGGAACGACTGTGCAGGAAGTTAGTTCAATGCTGCTGGAGAAGCTTATTGCTGCAGGAATTGGAGATCGACCGGTTGTATTTGTGACTCATAGGTCTGTTTGGCTAGACACTAACTTTCTTCTTTTTCTTTTATCATTTTTTTGATATTTCTGATTAGAGATTTATTTGGTGGTACACATCTGATAATTCTTTTCAAGTGATTTTACAAAAAAAAAAACTTTTGGCCAGAAATGTCAATATTACAATGACATGTCATCAGAGTAATAAGATTCAGGCCCAAATATTTGAAATCTAAGGCTTTACTAGGTTCTTTAGTGCATTTAATTTGCTTAATGCTCTGTTACAGAGTTCGTTGTTGATTATAAAGCCTTGGCATTTGTAAAAGTTTTTGTTAGTCTTTTACTTGTTTTTTGAATTCTTGGTTAAGAAATTGTGTACATTTATTAGAATAAGGAGGCAAAAATTGCAGAACTTCAAGCATGTTGAGTTTAGGTGGGTAAATCTATACCTCACATATATAGAAATCAACCATAAATTTGCATCCTTGATCTGAACAATTTTTCCCTTGAATTTCTTTAATTGACTCCTGAAAGTTGTTTTGCATGTTAAACTACATTGATAGTTAATGTGCATAAAGTGATGACTGGCAGAGCTCCCATAATGATTAGTAGAGCTTTTATGAATAATATTGAGTATCAATATGAATCAAATAAAAAAGAGTATCAACATGAATAAAGAGATGTTCAATTAACAATTTAACTTTGGAATATACCTATGTGGAGATGGTCGACTTTTTTGCACCCTTTTCTACTTCTAATATCACCTCTTGAGGCAAGTCCATAAGAGAGCACCAAGTAGTTCTTGTGGACTTTGTTTCTGGCACTTACCATATGTTGATGCCTTTATTCCAATGGCATTTTGCAGCTTGGGTGGCCTTGTTGTCAAGCAAATGTTGTATCAAGCAGAAGCAGAAAAGAGGGACAACTTTGTTAAGAACACCATTGGACTTGTATGTTCTATCCTTCAAATGAAAGTCTACTTGTGTCCTGTAATTTTTCCTTCCATGATGTCTCTGATAATATTCATTTTTGTTTGAGCTCAGGTTTTCTATAGTTGTCCACATTTTGGCAGCAAACTTGCAGACATGCCTTGGCGTATGGGTCTTGTGTTTCGGCCTGCACCAACTGTTAGTACCTGTTTGACATTTGTGTTTCTTGCATTTAATAACATACATTTTCTCCCCTTTTTAGTGTTTCCTGTTTTCAATATGATAAGATATCTGGCATTTAGATATAAAAGCTGCTTGTAACTTCCATGGCCAGATCGGAGAGTTAAGAAGTGGATCTCCAAGACTAGTCGAGCTTAATAATTTCATTGGTGACCTTCATGAGAAAGGCATGCTTGAAGTCCTTAGCTTTTCTGAGGTAATGTCTCTATATTGGACATTTTCTCTCCAACACTTCTGAATTTTTGCATACTTTGACAGCTCAGGTTGTAACTTTGATTGGTTAATGATTGGCTTACAGACCAAAGTTACCCCGATCGTTGAAGGGTACGGAGGTTGGGCTTTCCGAATGGAAATTGTACCTATTGAATCAGCTTATCCAGGATTTGGTCACCTTGTTGTAAGTAAAGGCTACTTGGCTACTGCATTTTGATAAAATGATACTACTTGTGGACTGGCGGACCTTATGTTTTTTTTAATTTTTTTGTCATACTGTTTTAATTTTCTAGTGATAAAAGGTATAAAATCTGATCTCAGCCTTTTTGTTAACTTTGCCGACTTTCAATGTTTAGTTGCTTCATAGGAATATGTAAAGGATATTTGAAGCCTATTATCCACCAGGTGATTGCTAACCGGTTAAAATTTTAATTAGTCAAATTGCATTTGTAAGTCATCCAAACATGATTTTTTCTCTGTTCTGTTCTAACATTATTGCACAAACCTATTGTCCAACAACAGTTGCTGGATTATTGGATGGTGAACTTTTGATTTTAGTACATACAACATAGAATTTCTTTGTTGAATACTGATGCAAGAATTTTGCTTATGAGCTTATGAATTTAAGAAGTTTTCTTTTGGCAATTAACATTGCGTTAGAGTTCCTGACATGTCACGTTTCATATGTTGATGCACGGGATATAGGAATTGTGGGTTGGTTTAGAATTTGCCTGGGCATGACTACAAATTTCATATTATTCCTTGGTTTCGAATATTACTGTAGTGGAAGCTGCAACACACTGTTTTAAATGGGTGGTATATATTTGGTTTTGTAGCCTGTTACTCTGTTTATTTTTTTAGTTTTGGGGTTTTGCATTGAGAGTGTAAGAAATATTGGTTTAAACCTGCATCACCATGTTAATGTTACCTCATCCTTTCTTTGCTTTTTCAACTTGAATGCAGGTTTTAGACTCCACAGACCATGTAAATTCTTGCAAGCCACTCTCCCGCACGGATCCTTCCTACAAAGAAACCTTAGACTTCTTGCACAAGATGAAGGCTCGTCTACATAAATAGATAGAGTGCGTGTATACTTAGAATTAGGCATAATTTTTTGCAGTGAAGACAACTATTGCTCTGAACCTGTTTGAGGCTTCTGAGAGCATTACTACTCTACAACTAACTCCAGAGGCAGGGCTTTCAAGCCTGCAAATTTTCAGATAGACCATTACAAACAAGACTGGAATTGTCGGGTTGGCAATGAGACCTACTTCAGGAGTCTCTACACCACACTCTACAACTCCTTGGAGACAATTTTCAAGCTTAATCTGCTTTACCAGGAGTTCGAATCGGGTTGCATAGAAGAGTAGCTTTAGCTGTACAGTAATTATCTCCAATGTTGTTTCGTGATTTCACCTGTACAATCCTGAGTTTACTAACTGTATCATCGATGTAGACCTACACTAGCGGTTAGGTAAGACATTCCCTTGCACTGGCGGATCTCCCATATTTTAGGCATAGAGAGTCCCTTCGTGGGACGATGATTCATTGGTTTACATGTAGAGTATTCTGATATTCTGTACTAATACTTTTCTCAAAGTAACAAATAAGAGGCCCTTCCTTGTATCATGTTAATAAGCTGGGTATCATCTAATTCTAACTTATATCCATTGTATTTGGGTTTAAATTTTCAAATTCAAACCCCAGTTAGATCTTGACCTATGAAAGAATTAGGGGTTTGGATAGGGTTTAATTTTGTCAATCTGATGTCCTATCTCATCCAAACCTATATGTATATGTGAAAAAAATAAAGGATGTTTAAATACACTGAAATTTTAATGTTAAATATTTGAGATTTAGACTGTCAAAAGGGTTGTTAGGAATCTCTTTAATTTCAGGTCATGACAACATTTTTTGAATATTGATTGTGTTATTTTGAAAATGGTAATTCGATTTTCTTTCTATGATTGTTGAATTTTATATATTTTTTTAAAATTATTATGATTGCCCATTGGATACCAAACTTATTAGAGTTAGGGTCTAAATTTTCTTTTCAAAACGCGAGGTTTTGATTCCAAGTCTGTGCATTAATAAAAATTTTGAGTAGATTTAGGTTAGGGTAAAGCAATTAATTCAAATTCAAACTCTATCCATTTACATTCTAAAATTCATATTTCAGCAAATGCTTGCATCAAATAAATCCAATCCAAATCCAAATTCCACCGACTTACATCTCTCACTTACATCCCTAGATGCAGATTTCAGGAAATGCCTTTGATGACTTTCATCTAATGCAGTTTGCTTTTATATATGAGAAAAAAAATAGTTATAATCTCAAAAAAAGAATTCGACAATTTGATCCTATTGGGACTTCAAAGACAACGAGATAAACGGATAAAGGAAAAGAATAAAAATAAACCAAAACTTGAAGACTAAATCGAAATTCCATGAAAATTGGGTACTCGCAATAAAATTAAGGCCGAGCATTTTACAGCTCCTCCTAGACTGGCGTCAAGAAGCGTTCCCTGCAAAGGAACAGCCCTGAATGCAGCAGCAATGGCCTGCTTCAAGCTATCAATTTTGCCGCTCCAAGAAAATTCAAGACTCCTATTTGTGAACAAATTCTCAAATTTTCCAACTGCAGAGAAAAGAAATTCGACAAATAGTGACAAAACCAAGCGGCCCACTAAATTTTACTGTTCACACTCCAATACGATTGCTGTGGTATCACCGTCGGAAACTGAAGAAGATGGAAGTGATGATAATGAAGAAGGTGGGCAGATGTCGACGCCGGCTATGATGGGAAGCGCGCCTCCGGTTAGGCGGAGGAGGAGGAGGTACAGGAAACTATGCCCTGGCGAGAATCAAGGGATAACTGAAGAAATGAGGTTCGTTGCAATGAAGTTAAGAAATAGCGGTAAACCCAAAAAGATTAAAAAGGGAAGAGGAAAGGCTGAGAGCATTAAAGAAGTGGAAACTGGGAATTCTGCTGACTCTGGGGAAGACCAAAAGGATGTCTCAATTTCAGAGGAAAAAGTGGAAAAGGATGATGATGGTAGCGATGCAAATGAAGATATATGGCAGCCTAGTCTGGAAGGTTTTTTGAAGTACCTTGTGGATAGCAAGCTTGTTTTTAGTACTATTGAGCGGATTGTTGACGAGTCCAGTGATGTTTCTTGTAAGTTATCCTTGTTTTCTTTTGGCTGCTGTTCTGCTTCTTCTATTTTGATCTTTGAGGTTTTCTTTTTTCCCTTTCAGCGGTTAAGTAGTTTTGATGTTCATTAATGTTCTATCCTGAAAATTTTTTCTTTTTTTTTTTGGTTACTACTAATTTTCTTAATTGGCTTTTAGGTATGAATTCAATCTTTGTAGGTCCATTGGGGTAATGCAGTGGAGGGTTGATTGTAGTTGGGGTTTAAAATTTAAATGTTTTGTGCATCCTAGTATAATGCATTGGAACTTAGTAGGTTATAAAGGTTTTGATCTTGATGTAACAGAAGACTTTTATAAATTTGAACTTGTTACAGTCCTGAATGCCTACCTGGCTTTCATATCCTTTGGTTAGTGTAATCATAGAAAGGGGATAGTTTGAAGTCTATCTACTGATAAATACAATATCCGATGGCTAATTTGTTTTCTTTATTGGTTACTCTTTTGGGTTATATTTCAAAAAATTTGGCGTAATTCTCTGATGTTTTCTGGAGTAGATGTCTACTTCAGGAAAACAGGATTGGAGCGATCAGAATGTATTGCAAAAGATCTAGAATGGTTCAGCCGAAAGGGTAATACCATCCCAGCACCCAGCAATCCAGGAGTCACTTATGTCCAATATCTGAAGGAACTTGCTGAGACGAGTCCCCCTTTGTTTCTTTCCCACTTTTACAACATATACTTCTCGCATATAGCTGGAGGGCAAGTTATAGCCAAAAAGGTGTGCTAATGCTGCTTTGTTCAGTTCAGTCAGTATTTTGTTTTCTTGGGGAATCTGCACCAGAAGTGAGATATCTGTATATGATTTTCAGTTATCTGACTCAAATGACTTTGCATTTGGCAGAATCTCTTGGTTGATGGGAGGGAATATTCAAATGAATTGGCTTTGGCATGTAATAGGGGGTATAACCTACCATACAAGATATGATTTTTCCTTTGATAAGTGAAATTGTACGCCACAAAAATAGGACAAGATGGAGCTTTTGATAGTAGAGAAAGATATTAGAAGACAGTAAGACATCTTCTTAAGATCTATGGAGTATCTTGTCCGAGTTGAGTTCTCAGCTGAATGGAGTTCTAGTTATGTCTTGCATACCTAAGTAGTCTTTGAAGTGAAAGCCATCATATGATTAGGCATTTGGGTGAAGGAAAGATCCGGAATTGAACTATTGAAGAATGATGAACATTAATAAGAGCTTTATTGGTTTATAGTTTTGGCCAATGCAATAGTAACTGCGTACTTATGTCATGATCGGAGATATCCCTATCATCCCATGGTGTGAGATAAAAATTAAGATGTGAAAGCGCGTTAATCTCTGTAAGAACGGTGCATTCCGAGGTGGACAAACAAATTGTTAGTCCAAATCAAATCGTTGCATATAAAAATGATTATTAGATTGATCTCAGTAGGTATTCGTTTGAATCTTTTGCAGTGAAGAACTCTTAGCCAATTTTGGTCGAATGTCATATCCTTAAATTGGATTTGCAAGATAATTTGGTTCTTTATTTTGTAACTTATTTGCTCCCTTTTATCTTGCCTTTTGATTTAATCATGCTATTGTTATTTCCGTTTCTGTTATCTTGATGAATGGCTTGATCCCTGCTTGGAGATGGTTCCACATTTGAACCAAATGGTGGTGCTTAACTTCCAAAATTGTTCATGTAATTGAGATTCTGTTTTTGAGGTTTAGCACATAGCATAGCTGTAGTTTCTTAGACATGCTTAGTTGCCGACAGGTCTCAGAGAAGTTGTTGGAAGGAAGGAAGCTGGAGTTCTATGCATGGGAAGGGGAAGAACAAGAGTTGCTAAAAGGTGTGAGAGACAAGCTCAACATGATTGGAGAGGTATAGATGCCTGAGATGATTTCCTCCCTGAACTTTCTTCAATACTTTCTTGAGCCATTTGCTGATAGTTTGTTTATCTATCACAGCACTGGTCTAGAGACGAGAAAAATAGATGCCTAAGCGAAGCAACGAAGGCATTCCGGTACCTTGGTCAGATAGTAAGGTTGATAATTTTGCAAAGAAAGCAGATTTGAATCCAAGATTGTATATTCTTCTCTGGTTGTAAGCCCATGATAGAGCCTTTCAAGTTAAAGATGAACCTCAGCTCTTTTGCTTGCGGCATCCCTTCTTCACTTCTTCCAATGGGAAGGATGTTTCACCGGAGTTGAAAACATCTCCTGTCTTGAAAATCGAATGCTAATACATGGTTTAGATTCTTTGGCTGCTGAAATTGGAGCTTTTAGTAATGCGGGTTGGTGATGGATTATTCCCTTCCTTTTTCCCTTCTGACTTCTTTGGTACTTTCCCTTTGTCCATAGCGTAGAAGTTAGGCATTTACGAGCCATTAGCGGGCTTAGTAGCAACCTCCCTGATTTCCCGCTCCGCGTCCCACATCGATCTGTTGGAGTCTGTGGGTTTAGGATTTAAGTTCCGTATAAGGCTCCAAAAGTTAGCGCCTTTTGGGATACTCTTGTGAATTAGTTTAGATGTTAAGTTTGCCGATTTCAGTGAAAAGAGTCATGATTGTGGCAATATATATATATATATATATATTATATATATATGTACATACTATAAAGTACCGACATTGGTCTATAAATTAGTAGTAGTACTAGAAGTCTAATAGCCTAAATTCAATCCATTACCTTTTAAAGTTTTGCCCGGATATGATAAGTATTTATGACCTTACTCGAGAGAAGGTAAAAAACTAAAATATACTCTCAATTTTTCTAGAAGGCGTTCATTGATTGAAACACACAAGTGTTTATTAGTCACTCTTCAATGCATATAACTTGCGCACTAAAATTGTCATGTAAATACAGATACTCAAAATTATACATTCATTGTAACTCTACAATCTCTCTGATTTTCTTTGCAATTGTTTTTAACTGTATAATAGACCTAATTAATGTCTATATCAACCGAATATTTATAATTTATGCACATATTTATTATGGGGTTAATTACATTTACCTCTCCCGAGGTTTGGCCAAACTACAAATTGGACCCTCAGGTTTGGTAAAACCATAAAAAAGGTCCCTCTGTTTCAAACGTCTATAACATATGCAGCCTTGCTGTCATTCTACTGACGTTGCATGTTTACATTGTAACAGAGTCAAGGGAAAATTGTGACACAACTCCTAAAACTACTTCTGATTATTGAACCCAAATATCTTCTTCCTTTTGTTTGTCTAACTAAAAACACGCCCCCTTAGCCAATACGTCGACAGAATTCCACTAGTTTTGCTGCAATTGCATGGCAGCCGTCTATCATCAAACCTCATTAATTAGAAGAAAGACAATCCAAATCTTTGGTAAAAGCCATAAAAACGAAAATGCTTCAATTCACTGGTAAAACCCATTTGTAAAGCTACAGTATCCAAGAACTTCCAACCTTCAAAATAACACAAAATTCATGAATCTATTGATATCCAAGCCAACTACTTTTTTAATCTACCCAACGAAAAATCATCCATTGGCAGAATTGGTTCCTTTCTTCATTGACTCTCAAAACCTTACCATAATAAATTTGATATTTGTGAAATTATTCAACTTAAGCCCCCTGTGTCTCTTTATGTTTCTAAACTGAAACACAAGAAAATCTAGAGACAACGAAGGAGATATACAGAGGAAGAAATGACTTGGATGGTATCAAATCTGGACTCAATAAAGGTCGGGTTAGTTGAGGCCTTGTTGGAGAGCAAGAGAGGGATTTGAAAATATCACAAGTCTAAAGAACATGGGGTAGTTGGAATAGATTGTTTGATGTGATGGTGGCAGTTATGGTAGAGAAATACAAGTAAGAGTAGAGAACAAAGAGGCAGATTGAATTTTGTTCATTTTTTTTCATCGTTTCCTTTTCCTTTTTGCTTGCGCTGGTTCATCTATTCATTTGTTTCTGTTTCTTAATCTTTCTTTCTTTATTTCTATGGGCATAAAATCTAGAAAATTTTCATCTTTGGCATCTTTATCTTTATCTCTTTCTTTCTTTCTTTCTTTTAAGTAATCCTTTCTTCTCTCTTTTTTTTTTTCTTTAACATATCAATCTAGTAGTTATACATAAAGGTTTTTTTTGTTATAAATTAGGGGCTAATTGTTTAGAATATGGACGAAAAAAAGATTAATCGGACATCCATGGTTCTGACAGACCCATGCTACAAATCTATGAGCACAGCCCGGCACCCAAAATTCCAGTCAAACTTTCTGACACTGTAGACAGCCAGCCAGCGAAAAAAACCTTTTTTTTTTCATAAAGTTGTCAGCTGCCGGGCTGACAAGGCCTGGTAGCCGACAACTTCTGCACAAAGCTGACTGCCGGGTTGGAGAGTGCCCAGTAGCCAGTCCACTTTTTGAAAAAAAAAATCCCAATGTTGAATTTGAGGTTTTCGAAGCCAGAGAATTTGGACAAAAAAAAAAAGGCTGCTTGAATTTAGGCTTGCTTTAGCATCTCATTTCATATTTGCAATAATTGAGGTGCATATATAAAAGAAAGGGCTGGGATATCAAATATGATTAAAATAAAGGAACATGTGCAATTTTGGTCCCCCGACATTTGGTCTATGAATTAAACTAATCCGTGATATTTTGACAAAATTATTATGAGCACAAATTTTTTTATTTTAGCCAAATTTAAGACAACTAATTCAAAACTATAACATATAACGGTCAAATCAAATTACAATTAGTCAAAAGTTTGACTTCGTATTTTTTCGTCTCTTATGTTTCAAATAATTATATTTCAAATGAAATAAAATGTGAATTACATTGAATCCATAAAAAATGTGGTCTAATTCTCATTAAAATCCTTAAAAGTAATCCACATTGTCAAGACATATTAGCCTAAAGAGCATCTTTCGTTATATTAATTATCAACAAATGATAACACATACATCATATATAAAAGAAAATTTAGTGAAAAAGGAAAATTTTAATTTGAGTATATGGTAACTTTAGTTGTAAATAGTATTAGGATATGAGTTTCAATCGGTTATGATCAGGTATTATAATTATAATAACAAATAAAGGTGATTACCAATATAAAAAACTCACATGAATTTTTCAAAAATTCCTTGCCATTTCTTCTTGTCTTTCCTTCATATTAAATCAAATATTTCAATAATACAATTTAATGTATTTATATGTATGTTCATTTTAAATTGATAATTTTATTGAATAATTTAAATAATTATAAAATCTTTATTTCAATTGAAACTTAATAGACAACTAGTTGAAATGTCAAAAAAAGAAAAAAAAAGAAAATATTATTCAACCGACTCAATGACATATAGTTACTTATATTATAATAGAATATTTTATTAACTTTTTAAATTTGTCAAATATGAGTATTGGACATTAGATGATGAACAAATTTTTAAGAAGACTTTTATTATGATTTTAAAATATATAACATTTTTTATCCACAAATAATCCGCTTTCTCCAGTGCCCGAATATACTTCTTTGTGCGTCTCCGCATGATAGAGTTGGCCTCCTTGCATCTTCACATGGTAGAGTTGGCTTCCTTGCATTATGCGCAGAAAAATGAAGTCTCCACACGGAATGCTAAACAAGATGCTAAAGCAAAAGCAGCCTTTTTTTTTTTGTCCAAATTCTTTGGCTTCAGAAACCTCAAATTCAACGTTGGGACATTTTTTTTTTTTTTTCCAAAAAGTGGACTGGCTGCCGGGCCGCCCGGCAGCCAGCTTTGTGCAGAAGTTGTCGGCTACCAGGCCTTGTCAGTCCCGCAGCCGACAACTTTATTAAAAAAAAAAAAGTTTTTTCCGTTGCCCGGCTGTCAGCCATGTCAGAAGGATTGACTGGAATTTTGGGTGTTGGGCTGACCATAGATTCGTACCATGGGTCTGTCAGAGCCATGGACGCCCGATTAATCTTTTTTCGTCCATATTCCAAGCAATTAGCCTAAATCAGGACACTTTTATCAATTCAAGACTTCTGATAATTGAGTTTACACGCCGTCAATGACAAGGGAATGAGTGTATATTTGGCTAAACCATAGGGTTGGTTTGGCAATTTGGTCAAACTTTGAGGGAGATAAATGTAATTAAACCATTTATTATATGTCCGTAGGAGTTGAGTTGGGGATAACAAATTTTAAAAGTCTTTAATTAATTACGCCCTTCTCAAATGTTATCAAATATGGCAAGTATAAAAAAATGTAAACGCAAAACAACTTGGACATATAATAAATGGAGCGAGTCCGACACGGTAGCGTGCGGTACAACAGCGATCGCACCAAGTACCAAAAAGTTTGACAGAGTACTAGAAAAAGTTTAGCAGCAGAATAGGGGAAGACTGAAGAGGGAAGAGGCCTGTTCTCAGCTCAGGCGAACCGGTCAATTCCTCCGACTCCGACACCGTTACCCTTTGACTACTAATTCAAGCCTATTTTTTGTCCGAGGACAACTTCTGTCTGAAACCTTAAACCCTTGTCTGGCTAACCCAAAACCCCACCTGAAGAAATTAGTCAAAACCAATAAATATGGAGGCAGAAGAAACGCCGCCCCAACATACACACACAGCAGAAGGTGGGGCAGCTGTCAAAGCTCTTGGCCCTCTCTTCAAGCTCACTGAAGTATACCTTTGGTCAGCATCAATCACCCCTTGTCTATTTCCCATAGAGCTTTTCAAGAATTTCTTCTTTTTAAAAAAAAAAATTTATTTTTGTGCTCCAAGGATGAAGAAAGTATGGGTTTTTTTAGCAAGAATTGCTGACCTGGACTTTGTTTTTATCCAGGGATGATGCCTCACAGGAGAACCGAGGCGGGATTTCTTCCCAGCTAAATGTAAGTTTATATTCCAGAAACTTTTTTTCTTAGTCTTTTCATTGTTTTATTCAAAATTATACGTGTTAGACTTGGTTTTTTATTTTTTACCACCCCCTTCCAATTTAAAAAATTATTTTTGGGAAAATTCTTCAGGAGTGTGTATCTTAAGAATGTTTGTTGTGGATTCATTCATGTAGAAAGCCACTGGCAGAGGCAATTCGGGCTCATCTTCAAACGATGGTGTGACGACAAATGGCAAGTTCTTTTTTTTTTTTCTCCTTTTAGTAGAATTTCCAGTATGATTGGGTTGTGTCTTGTGTATTTCTCTTTGTTAAAATTTCCTGGTTAGCTCTGTTGACATGGTGCATATTCTGCTGGCATTGAAGTGCTGAATTGCCTTCTTGATACATATTGAATTTAAAGAGCAATTTGTCTTTCTTATGCATCTAGAGTTGTTCCCTCTGCCTGAAGATTTGGAACTTGCCAGACAGATGAAGGACCTGGGACTACCGTTTTCATTTCACACAAACAAGGAGGTAGTTTTGCTTTAATCCCCTGTTTCATCGTCTCCTTTAAAAGTTTTCCATTCTGTGGTTAAATGCTTGACGGAACATCCTTCAGCTTTCTGGTTGTGGTTTATATATAAAAGAAAGTTTACTAGTAAAACAGTGGTCCTGCATTTGGTTTCCATCACTATTTTCTCTTCATTACCAACAACCGAAGGGGTTTAA